GGACGGAATGTCCCCCATCCTGACTCTGGCTCCGGCCGAGGGTGGGGAGTGGCAGGAGTGGCCCCGGGCACAGCTCCCTCGCTCAGCCGGGCGCTCGCTGCTCATTCATCCCTCCACCCACCTGCTGCTCCGCAGCCTCCTCTCCAGGGAGCCTTTCTGCAGCCGCTCTGGGGGTGCAAAGAGACTCCAGGCCCGTGTGCCCTGCTTCGTAATGCAAACAGCTGCCCTGTCCTGGTGGCGTGGCTGGGAGGGCTGAGTGAAGCTCGGCCCCAGAGCTCCGAGGCCTTCAAGCCCATGTTCTTTCCACCTGAGGGGCCGCTCAACCTGATCTGAGGCTGGGGACGAGACGGGCCCTTGGCCCCCAGTTCCTCCAGTGCAGGCGACAGAGCTACTCTTGCTGCAAGAGACAGGGTGGCGGGAGCCCCAGGTCCACCAACCAGGCTGGGCAGGTGAGCGCCCAGTGTTCCCCAGACACGCTGAGGCCCCCCAGCCTGGCTGTGGACTCTCCTTGCTGGTCACAAACGGAGCTTATGTTTGGAATTCTCCTCCCCAAGGCCAGCTCCTGTTAAACCACTGTGTGATTCTGAGACCACTTCACTCCTGGCAGGGCTGGGTGAGTAATGAGAGGAAGCCGATAGTTTGACGCCGGTCACAGGGCCCAAGCCCCCACATCGTCATCGCTGATCTCACTTTTTGGTCCTCTGGCCTTGGGACCAGCGACGACCACAAGCAGCCTTGAGGGGGTGGGGTGCACTTTGAAGAACATCTGGAGGCCGTGCTGACTGCGGCCGGCCGGGGCTGGCCGGGCCTGAGTCCCCAGCACCCGGGGTGTGTCCTGCCTGCCGCTTCCCACCCCGCCCCGAAGCCGGCCTGGTGAACCCAAGCGGGGAGAATCGGGAGTGACGGGGACTCACAAGAATGAGGGGCCTGGACGGCTGACAGCACCTGATGAGGGCTGAGGGGACTGGAGCTGGAGATGACAGCTGCCACTCTCTGGCCTTGGGGAGCAGCTTCTGCAGGCACGAGGGAGGGGGTGGCATGGGTCTTCAGAGGTGAGGATGGCAGTCCACACCCAACCCGGGGCTGCCTCGGGGCTCTGGGTGTCTAGCACAAGGCGCTTCTCTGGGTGGCCACAGTCTTAGAGGCTGTGGAGGCCCGCCGAGTAGACTATGGACTGGGGGTCCGTGTACAGTGAACTGTACTAGCCCACCTTTCCTTCTACCCAGGAAAACAGAGGTCCTTAGCTCTGACGTATAAGACTGTGCTCACTCCTGAGGACAGCACCTGCCACCCCCACTATGGCCTCGGCCAATGGCAAGCATGGGGAGGGAGCCGCTAAAGACACAGGCTCTGGGCAACTCCAAGGCTACCTCACAGAGCCCCATCCTCAAGGGACTGCCCCCCGTCTTCTACCATGCTCGGTCCGGCTCCCTGTGCATAGCAGGTCAGCTCCATCAGAGAACGAGGTTGGCTCCTGCGGGTCAGTCACGAGGCCTGGGAGCTTAAAGCCACTTGGAGAAGGCTTGACCTGGGAGCAGCTGGTCTCTGTGTGTGTGTGGATGGAGGTGCATCTGGAAAGGAATCACTAGAGGGCCCTGGCCAGTGCCTGCTGAGCCCGGGGAGAAGGGGTCTGGCCTGAACAGGGCCCCTTCGTCAAGGGGGATGGCCTAGCAGGGTGGATGGGCCACTGACAATGGGAGGTGGGAGGCAGGATGGGTGAGGGCGGCAGGGAGAGGAGGGGATGTTACCACGAGGGTGGGGGTGACATCCAGGGGAGTGGCACAGGCAGTCTCCTGTGGCGATGGGGCGGACAGTGGGGTCCCAGGCAGGAGGCCAGGAGGGAGAGCACCCATCCTGAGATGGACCTGTGGGGATCCTTTTCGGGGAGGAGATGGACCCGTGGGGATCCTTGTCGGAGAGGAGAACAGGGCTGGACTGAGGCCTCGAATGCAGGACACTGCGCATGGCCGCCGCTCATGGTGAGCAGAAGGACGGCTCATCACGCTCTCCCAGGTCTCCTCCCTGCCTGCATGTCTAGAATGAACCAAAGCAAGGGGTCCAGCTGGGAGGGAAGATTGGGACGGCGGCGCCCACGGGACCGTGCTGTGTGTGCCTGGCCAGCATTGCTGCTCACTGTGGTGGCTTCCATCCAGGCTTTTAGCTGGTACCTGGCACTGCTCAGGCCTTTCCCACCTTCAGAACCCTCTCCAGAGTCTCCCCAAACCCATGGGGTGAGGCCACAGCAGCTGGCACCTCCTGAGCGCTTGTGGTGTGCCAGGCCCGCGCCAGGGTGCTCCACACACCAGCCAATCCCACGGACCCTTGTGAGGACTCCCCAGTTTTCTGATGAGAAATCAAGCCCCAGAGAGGTTTGGTCACTCACTAAAGGCTGCACAACCCCTAGAAGCTGTTTCCAGAGCTGGCCTCTCAACCACTGCACAGCTGGTCCCCACATCGTCAGCCCCACATCGTGGACAAGGAGGCAGGCAGGGTAACAGATTATTATTATGATTTTTGAGACAGGGTCTCACTCTATCACGCAGGCTGGAACGGAACGGCACAATCACCATTCATTGCAGCCTTAAACTCCTGGGTTCCAGCGATTCTTTCTCCTCAGCCTCCCTAGTAGCTGAGAGTACAGGTGCACGCCACCATGCCTGGCTAACTTACTTTAATTTCTTTTTTTAGTCGAGATGGGGTCTCGCTGTGTTGCCCAGGCTGACCTCAAACTCCTGGGCTCAAATGACCCTCCTGTCTCAGTCTCCCAAAGTGTTGGGATTACAGGTGTGAGCCACCATGCCCAGCTGGTAACCGAATTCTTAGTAGGAGTCAGACCCAGAAGGGAGGGTGGGGGCTTGTCTTGGAAGCATCTGGGCTAGAGTGTGTACAGTGGCCTGATATTGAGGGAGCCACAGGTGGTGGAGAGACTCCAGGAGAAAGGAGAGGACATCTCCGCTTCTAGGCCACCCTGGTGTTCAGGCTTACTTCCATTCAGCAAATCTGAGGAAAGAGCAGAGACCCACTGAATTTCTCCCAGGGAAGGTGGCAGGATGGGCCCTGGCGTGGAATGTCAAATCAGAAATGACCTGAAGAGACCCGGCACAAAAGGGAAGATCATCTCTCTATTAAAGTCTCCAAAGGCAGCCACGTGTAAGAGCTGAGCTGCCGTGCGGCGTGCTGCTCCAGGACAGTGGACCAGAGTCGGCAGAAACAAGGAGGAGGCTGTTGGCGCGACCTGAAGCAGGGCGGTCTCATCACGTTCCAGCTTCCGTGCATTCCAGCTGTAGGACTGCAGGAATGGCTGGAACAGGCTGCGGTGATGGAGAGTGAGTTCCCCATCACTGGAGGTATCAAAACAGAGTCAATAACCTGGAGGCAGCAGGGTCTGGTGGAGACCGAAGCACTGATGAGGGGGTTGAAGTTTATGACCCCCAAATTTCCCTGACTCTGAAATCCTGGGACTTCCTGCTTTGCACACTGCCCAGGGCTGCCAGCCTCCAGCTGCTTCAGTCTCACACCCATCACCTTTGCTTCCCAGCCTGAGACTCTGCAGGGGCCCTGGGTGCCCTATGAGAAGACCTGGGCCTTCCTCTTTGCCTCAGATACTCTCTCCCTCTTTTCTATTTGCAGGGAGGAATGATTGGCTCTTGGTGAGCTCTGTCCTGTGGCATGGGACCTGCCAGGCACATGGCATGAAAGGCACGTCCCTCCCAGGCCACCTCCTCCGAGGCCGAGGCCCAGGCCGCCCTGGCTGCCCTTCCTAAACCTGCAGCTCCGCCCCAGCTCCGCCTTTCTGCTCAGCCCTCACGGTCCCATCCAGGCACTTCCCTGTTTATCTTGTTTATTTGCAGGAATGCAGGGCTCTTGGCTGTGCTGGGGGCACCTAAGACAGTCTGGGCACTGAGAGGACCTCAGGACGCCTTTGTCTACCCAACGGGCAGAAGGGAACTAGAGTCGGTCTTGGCAGAACGGGCAGGGGCTGTCCACCACGTGCTACCTTCCCAGCGTGGGCCCACCCTGACCACCTTCATCTAATACTGAACTCAGGACGTGAGGATTAAATGAGTAGCACGTGGCACACTCCCGTGCCCAGCATGGCTCAGGCTGGGGATGAAGCAGTTAACCGCCTCGGCCGCAGGAGCGGACTTGGCAGCTGAGCGGCCCCAGAGCCTCTGCTGCCCGCCCCCGCCACACCCGACCTGTCCCTCCGCCCTCGGCCTAGGGTGCAGGGACAAGGTCTGGGTGGCTGAGGGGTCCCCCCAGCCCCGCTGGCCTTCCCTTCCGACCGCCGCCACGCGGGGCGCCGTGTCCCCATGGGTCTAGACGTCCAACCAACTTCCCGGCTCAGCAGGAGCCTCTGGGGGCGCACGGCGATGGGTGGGGGCACAGCGTGGCCTCCCCGCAGGAGCCTGGCGGCGTCGAGCCCCCAGGGTCGGCTTCAAAGCTCTCACCCCAGTCACGGGCGCTGACACAGCCGACGCGCCAGTCTGTGCCGCCCTCGGAGCGCTGCAGGGCCAGCACGCCTGGGCAGGCGGCCTGGAGGAGGCGGCGGCACGGCACGGCCCGGGCACCCACAGCGGATCCGACCCACGATGAATGGGCCGCCCGCGCCTCAGTCCCCACGCCCCGCTCCCGCCGTCCCGCCCAGAGGCCCCGCTGCCCGCGCTGCGCTCCCCGGCCCCAGCCAGCCCCGGCGCTTCACACGCTGCCCGCGGAGCCCATCCTCGGCGCTGCCAACGCTCCGGGCAAGGCGGCGGCCCGGCCCGGCCCGGCCCGGGCCCAGGCGCTCTCATCCCCGCACGTCCGCCCGGGCAGGCGAGGTCGGGGTGAAGGGGAGCCGGGCCGGGCGCTGCGAGCGCAGGGAGCGTCCCCGAGGGCGAAGGAGCGGAGCCGGGTCGGGACCCTCGAGGGGCGCGGCGCAGCCCGGTGATACCCCCGCCCGGCATTCCAGCCCCGGCTCCCCTGGGCACCGCGCGCCCGGGCAGCGCATCCGCACTCACCTCCTCTCCGAGGCCCGCTCCGCGCGCCACGCCGGCGGCCGCCAACGAGCTCCCGGCCCCGCCGCTCCAGCGCTCAGCTGCAGAGGCGCCGTCCTCATCCCGACCGCAGGCCCGCCCGGGCCGCGCAGACGGGCCGCCCGCCCGCCGGGCACCGAGCCGCCCTGCCGCGCGCTGCTCCTCGGGGTGGGGTGGGAGGAGAGGGAGCGGCCGCGGGCGCCTCTGGCCAGCCCTGCAGCTCCAGCCCCGGGCCGGGTGTTGGGAAGGCCGGACGCCGGCCGGGCGGCTGCGGGGTCTGCCCCCCGGAGGCTGGGGCGGCTTAGGTTACAGACTCCGCCGCCCCCGCACCCTCCCCCACGGCTGTTTTTAGCGCCGCTTTTCCTAGGTGTTCGTTTCAGGGGACCCACCAGCGATGGGGGAACCCAAGGCATTGCTCCCTGAACCCCCTCTCCACCCTCCCCGGCCAGCCCACCCCCAGATTGGCAGGCTTGCTGCTCAGATGGAAACGCTGGACTTAGCACAACTTACAAAACGGCTGCCATAATTCTACCCATGTGGCTTCCAGTGGCTGCTCCATCCCCATCCCTGGGCTCCGCAGCAGCTCCCCCCCACCCCTGCCCGGGTGCCCACACAGGACATGCTCGCCTAGTGCTGCTGTCGGGTGGTTGGGGAATGTCCCACCTGGCACCTGGCACCTGCCTGGTCAAGTTGGGTTTGAGTGGCCTCCGTTGGCCCTGGAAGGCACCATAGGGAGGGGCCCATGGGGTACTTTCTCCTGCATGGGAGCTAACATTGCCCCAGACCTTTGCGTCTCCACTTGGGGACCCTCCGTCCAACCCTGGGACTGACCCGGACTGGCCTGTGAGTTCTGCAGCATTGCTGGGGGTGGGGGGTGCTAGGAGCCATGCAGGCCCCTAGACAGGGAGAGGGCCTCACCGGTCATGCGTGCAACAGCTCCATTCACGGCCAAGGAAACCAAGGCCTGGAGAAGAGAAGGGACTTGGCCAACTCATCCCCAGCTATCCCAGGCAAACAGGAGGGAGGGCTGATCCCACACTGGGGTGTGTGGGCCTCCCCCAAGGTCAGGGGTGCAGCGTCAGGGCAGCATCTGGGGACAGATTGCCCTCCCCCGCCTCAGAGGATCCCAGGTGGTGAATCGGTGGGCTTCTAAGAAATGGGGTGCCCGTCGGGGGACCTCGCAGAAAGGAATGCTTTCAGAATTAGTCCTCAGACCCAGCTCCCCGGGGAGCAGGTCCAGCATGCTTTACTCACACAAGTTCAAGTCGCACACCCTTTTAGGGACACCTTTATTATGTAAAGCAAGGCGCAGCCTCACCCACGGGGCCTTCTCTCGGAGCCACTGAGTGAGCCTGCCCGCCCCGCTGCCCCACCATTCTGGTCTGCCTCCTGAGGCTGTTTCCAGACTCTCCACACATGCTATAGAATAAAGTAAAATGGACTGCACGTCACAGGGGGGTTTCTGTCCTGGGCACCGCAGCACACGACGTTCCTGCCAGTGGCTTGAAAATGTGAACTGAACCAGGGGCAGGGGCTGAGAGGCCCCAGAGGCTCCAGGCTGGGCTCACATTTCTGTGGCATCGTCTGGGGCCTCCAGGTCCTGGGAGCTGCCTTTCTATGGAAAATGGGGAGGAACTAAGAAACCCTCTCGAGTTAATCAGGATTTCAATCAAGCAAGTTTCTTAAAGTTTCAAGTGCGGGGGTCCCCTCGGCTCTGGACAAAGACCGCAGCGGGCGTTTCCTTCCCTGTCTTTTCCACTGGGTCTATTCTTGTTTCTGAGAAAGACTTCAATTTCCAAACCCACGTGTGTGTGTGTTAGTGCGTGTGTGTTAGTGCGTGTGTGTTAGTGTATTAGAGCACGTGTGAGTGTGCATGTGTTCGTTTGTGAGTGTATGAGTACGTGCATGTGCGTGTGTGAATGCGTGAATGCATGTGTGAGCTCACGTGTGTGACTGCGTGTGTGAATGCATGAGTGTGAATACGTGTGTGAGTGCATGTGTGAATGCGTGTGATTGCATGTGCGTGAATGTGTGTGACTGCATGTGTGACTGCATGTGTGCGAGTGCATGAGTGTGAATGCATGTGTGTGTATGTGTTAGTGCAAGTATGAGTATATGTGAATGTATCTGAGTGCATGTGTATGAGTGCATGAGTGTGAGTGCATGTGCGTGAACACCCGGTGAGTGAATGCATGTGTGAGTGCATGTGTGTATGTGTGTGAATGCATGTGTGAGTGCATATGTGTGTGTGCATACACATGAGTTCTTTCCTCAGCTCTGGGGTACCTGAATGCCACTTAGGCATGAGAAACCACAGAAGCCCTCACTCAGGGCCCATGCCCAAGACCATGGTGCCAACAGGGGATGACCCTGTGCCCACCCTGGGCCAGTCACTATGCAAAGGACTCCGACAGCCCTGCGAGGGTGCTGCCTCTCCCCTTTCACAGGGAGGACTAGCAGCACGGCCAGGGCATGAAGTATGCCTCCCCTGCCCCAGAGCCACCGTCCACCCCTCACCTTGTCCCCCTGCTCCACACCCACCTGCTTTGAGTAACCCAGTGGCAGCGTCAGGAGCCACTTTGGGCTGTCGTGACTGGGGGCTGCCTCAGGCATCTCGTGGGTGAGCAGGGCCTGCTGCCACACCTCCCGAGTGTGCAGGTATCATCCCGCCCCAGGTGTCCATGGTGGGAGGTGAGAATCCTGGTATCAGTGTCCTCCTGGGGCGGCTTTGCTCCAGCTGTGGCCTCCTGATTCCTGTCACTCCCCAGGCCTCTTTCCCCTCTTTGCAGGCCTCAAAGCTGTCAGAGAGCAGTAAAGGGGGCCATGCCCACCCCAGTAAAGGGAGGGTACCCTGTGGGGAGCAGGGCTAGGAAGCCTCCCCTGTGTCTGTGAGCTCAGCAGAGCTGGAAGGCTCCTGGGTGGTCCCAGCCTGTGCTTTCCAGAGGAAACCGGCCCAGCAGCCTGCTGACTTGACTTACCCATGGCCACAGCCACTGAGCCCAGGTCTCTTGCCCTAGCCAAGCCCCCATGCTGCCCAGAGCTCCAGGCCAACCCTGGGTGGGGGGAGGTTTCCTGGGTCCCAGTGGACATCAGGAGAGCCAAGCCACATGAGTCACCCCCTTGACTTTCGCCTGATGTAAAAATGAAACCGAATAACCATCGCCAGCGAGGTGGGGGGCGCGAGAAGCCGCCGACACATTCCGGGGGTGACTGTTCTCTGGCACTCGAGCTCAGTGCTGGTGGCAGGGGTGTGGACACCCATCCCTCCAGACTGCCACGTGCCTTGAGAGCAAGGCTGCACCCCTGCCACACCTGGGCCAACACCTGCCCCAGATGGGCCCTCCAGAGAGGAGACCTCCACGAGAGGACCTGACCTGTGGCCGAGATATGGCATACGGAACGTTTAAATCCTCCGGGAGTTTTCAAAGCAAGCTTCCCCTGTCATCTCATGGGCTCCTTAGCCCCATTTGCTAGACAGGGGAAAGTGAGGCTGGAGGATGAAGAGCCCACCACAGAGACGTGGCGGTGAGTGGTCAAGCCTGTTCCAGGCTGCCACCTTCTCCCTAGTCCAGGGCAGGAGTGGAGGGGAGAGCAGCTTTGGGGGCCTCTGAGCACTGGGGTCTGCACGACATTTGGGGGTCTGTGAGCAGCCGGGCTGAGGTGCAGACTCCAACTCCCCATCGGGCAGGAAGCCCGCCTGGACAGCCTCTAATGAGCTCCGCCTCCCCCAGGACAGCTTCTGGGTGCAGTGAGAAGCTCGTGGGGGCTCATAAGCCCTCTCCTGTTACAATGCGTGCAAGCACAAGGACCACCATCAGGGGCCTCTCCAAGAACGTGCGACCTGGCTGATGAGGCGCTGTGTTACCAGCCTGGAATTTCTGGAACACAATCAATACCTGTGGATTTCACCAAGTAGACCTTGCCTGGGTCTGGGGGCTGCAGAGAGAAGGGCCTGACGCCCTGCTCCCTGCCCACTTTGTGTGCCTGGGTGGGTGAACGGGCTCTCCGAGTTTCTCTTGCTTGTCTGGGACATGACATCATGAGGCTGTGCAGCTGCGGGCCCCCCACTCCGTGGTGGTGAAGTGGGGGTCTTAGGGTATCGAGGGCAGTTGGACATAACACGTATGTACAAGGGAGGAGGGGCAGTGGCTCTGTGGACTGGGGCCCTTGAGGACGCAGCGCCCATCCCAGGCAGCCTTCCCCTCACCCTGCGGTGCCCCGTGCTTCCCTCGGCCTGCTCAGGGCTGAGGCCAGACACCATTCTTTTCCTGGCATCAGAAAAAAAAAAAAAAAACCAACCTCTAGAATACAAAAGTGAGGCTGAATAAATCTTCATAAATCTTCAAGCGCCTACAGGCCAGTGCTTGAGGGGTGGCTCGGGCTGCACCCCGAGGTGGGACAGTGGGACAGGCTCAACCAGAGGAGGCTTGGAAAGTGAGAGGGGAAGGGGAAGGAAGGGCTGGAGGAGGGGGACAGGGGAGGGAGGATGGGGAGTGCGGAAGGGAGGAAGGACAGAGGGAAGTGCAGGGGAGGGAGCGTCAGGGCCTGGAGCCCAGCTGAGCCGGGTCCAAGGAGACATTCCAGACAGATGGTGGCGCGTGACTCAGATGCCCAAGGCCCGAGTGTTTCAGCCCCATCATCTGAATGGCTCAGTCTAGAGCAAATAGCTGGGGTGGCCTTGAGGGCATCCTGCACAGGGACACGGGCACACACACCCACTCGGGCCATACACACTGGCTTACACACACATGTGCTTCTGTGTGTGGCGGGCCCAGCAGGAGAGCAGCCCAAAGCCACTAGGCCCACTGGCCAGCAGAGGGTCTGGGCACGCAGGACCCACCTCGCCTACCCTCTGTGAGGCTCAGAGCAGCGTCACCTTCTCCAGGAAGCCCCCCTGCCCCACACATTCACACCTCCTCTGGGAAGGCCCCCTGACCCACACAGTCACGCCTCTTCCGGGAAGCCCCCCTGCCCCCACATTCACACCTCCTCTGGGAAGCCCCCTGTCCCGCACATTCATGCCTCCTCCGGGAAGCCCCTCTGCCCCGCTCAGTCTCAGCTTCTCTGGGAAGCCCCCTGGCCCCGCACAATCTCAGCTCCTCCCAGAAGCCCCCTGCCCTGCTCAGTCACGCCTCTTCCGGGAAGCCCCCCAGCCCCACACAGTCTCGGCTCCTGCCTCCTGGGCACTTCCCAGTAGGGCTGCTTTTGGGCACACAGTCTGTGCTCCTGCTCCATTGAGAACACTGCTTGTGGCCTACCCTGTGTGGATAAGACACAGGAGTGGT